GTCGAAACAAGGTGACTGTACTGGAAAGTGTAGTCGAAATACTACCCCAACTTATCTATCTCTATTTTATATTAGCCTATCATAAATACAATTAGTAACATAATATTGAATTAATGCATATTTACTTGTATACCAGTTTAATAAATATATTTATTGATGTTACTACATATTATCAGCATAGTTAATATTAATACCGCAGAATTTATACATTCTATTCAATACCTTGAATAATAAATAGTATTGTAATATTGTCTATTATTATTCGTTTATAATTATCTCAATCTGTATGTTGACATTTAAAGACTGTTATTTCACTTTCACTTGATATAAAATTATAATATCACATAAAACCGTACCATCTTATATTAAATTATTCCTTCCACTTATTATAACAGTTAGAATATTCGGCATAAATTTAATAAAAAATGAGGGGCGCATTTTTTAAGTGGTCTAATTCATTTATTCGTACATTTTTATCTTTTTTAATATTCGGTAAGAAAAATATATTAGTGTGCAATGTATTTGAAATATCGTACTTTGTAATATCAAATTATCTAGGAATGATTTCATGGTAACCTCGTCTTATGGCCAATGTGGACTGATATGCTATTAGTACGACTGCAGTCTGGTCAGGGACTAAGTCACCCTATTTACAATAAAGTGAACCATTTGTGATGTAACTACAACTGATATTGTGTATCGGCACAAGTTTATTACAAGCCAATGAACGGTTATAAAATCTACACAATTAAACGTACTCGATAAGAATACCTATGCGTACCTAATGAAAACTATATTACTAATCAACCCCAGTGAAAGTAGTATTTATTACATTGTTTCTTATCTTAAAACAAACATTTTAGATTATTATCTCTGCTTATTAAAGGAATTCATAACCAGTCCTCTATTATATATTGTAACAATAGCCTAATGCTACGTTTATTTGTCTATTAATAGTGGTGTAGGTCCTAAATAATATAGGTGTTTGCATTTTACTAATCCCTACAAAACCAGCTAAATATAACAACATAGTTTACAGAGACCTCTGTTAGTACCTGGGTATATACTTATTATTAGAGGGATGACTAGGAGGAAGTCGTATGGAGAGGAGCTAATTATGATAGTGACATTAGCAATGTAATTGAGCATAAGATAATTGATAATAGCATGTTTCAATTATAATTACTGTTTAAGCTTGGCATTAAATGAACACCAATATATTTAGTCGGGGTTTATATAATTTCAATATAGGTTTACCTATAAGTAAGGTTTAAAGATGTTTACAATTTGCTGCTATAACAGCCTTGGCGATTGTGATAAGTGTTTTACAAAGAGTTGATGGATTTTATCTAATTTTATGCGTATAGATTCCGCGTCATAACAACGTGCTGCAAAGGTTAATAGTTCAAGATTGCTCGAATTATAAATGATTCGTTGACCAATGCACGGCGTCCTTTAGCAAGGATCTGCATTTTGGTGATTTCGTCTGGCGAGACCAGTTTGTCAATCAGGGTTACTATAGGAGCCGCCACATGAGTTATATTTAGAAATCTCGGTAATTTTGCCTAATTCTGTCTTGTATTCCTGCCGTCTATAACAAGCTACAAACACCTTTTATCTCCATATATATTATATTGTCATAAATGAATAAATTATAAAATTTTAAGTCGATTAGTATTTAAATCCTATTATCATGGTTCATTTATACCTTTTATCTTTACTGGCTAACAAAATAATATTGAAAATTTAGATATACTATTTTATTTATGATATAGTCCAATCCATGCTACGCATGGCGTGTAATAATAGTCAGCGTTCTGTTGGTTGTATCAAATTAAACAGAAAAGGATGGCTGACTACTAGCTAGCGCGCTAGCAGGTTTAATTAAGGGTAACTACTAAAGATAGTAAAATTGGCGGATCTATCAATGCTTACAAATGGAAAAAGGAAAGACCAAAAAAAAGCCCGGTAGAAAAAAAAACGCTGACGGTAACCTTTAAGCCATTATCTTTCGTTGAGTCAGTTAACGCTAACTAGTCCTTATGCTAACCGTGTCAGTCCACAATTTTATAAGAATAATAAAATGAGCACAATTTTATAAGAAGTTTATTGCGTAGCCGGTAATTCCACGAATACTACGTAGTATATGATAGACTCCTAATTAGCATCCTGATAATTATATACCTGCTGCTAATCCTTTAGTGACTCCTTATTCCATCGTGTGAGATTTTTAATCATGCATTTTTTTATTATACCCACAGTAAAATAGGATATAACTATGTTCACTTCTTTTACCTATACATTTTATTTACTACTTAAATATATAAGAAGTTAACATTTTATTCACTTGAGTCGGATATTCGTTTTTAATTTCTTTAATGTGGGTAAACAAATTCCAACATTAATCATATCTTACTATGTAGTTTAATTTCAACTATTATTTCACTTATTAATTATTTCATACTTCCCCCTAGTCAGCGTTAGTATTAGCTAACTATAAGGGGGCCCTAATTATTATAGTTTTATATTAGTTAGATAAGGATAGGTGCACGTATAAACTATAATAATTAAAGAAGATATGGAAAAATATACCACAATTTAAACCTTTCAGATGGATAAAATTTACTTACTTGATGCTTATCTTTAACGCTTATAATCCAATGTATTAGTTAAAAATATGGTTAACTAGAGTATGAACTTTATTTAACACAAAGTATAATAAATTTCCTGTGGGTATAATAAAGTGGCGTAGCCGGTAATTTAGTTTTGAGACCGGAGATAACTAGAGAGTTGGCTGACAGTTCCTCTATATAAGCGGTGACGAGTGTTGAATAAGGTATTGAGGATGGTATATATCAATGAGTATTTCTGTAGCTTTTTAGATAACGCACGATAAAAATGTAAATAAATGGGAAGGATAATTAGCATATACATTTACATGGTAGTTAGGCAATATGGAATATGTTAAATAAACGAATGAGATATATTTTGTACTAAATAGGGATAGATGTTAAATGCTGAGATCTTTATTAATAATGAGTAAGGGTATATTTCATAAATAGTAATCACTTATAGATAACTTTTGGTAATAATTTCTCATATCACTTATGTGAGTAGTAATGAATAGTTAAAGTGCTTCATCTGTATTTTATGCTTCATTGTTTTATTAATGCTTCAATATTTTTAGTGCGACAATATACTTAGATATAGCTTTAATATATGGATTAACTGTTTATACAAATTATGAAGATATATTCTAGTAGACTTAATTATAAACATTTTATTTAGCTTCATTATTGGGTACCTTATTTATATGATGGATAGGTGACATAAGTAACAATATGGTTAGATACCAAAAATAGCATTATAAATATTAGAATTATATCCATAAATATCGACGGTGGAGTAAATCAAATATTTATGGGAAGTGATCTTTAATAGTAGGTGCAGTGGAATTAGGAGTTTAAAGCCAATTTTTAGCTTACGAATATGGGATTAATGATGTGGTTATTAGGATAGTTCTATATTTTATACGGTTTAACTCCTTATGCTTTATATATAAGTAATCTGATAAGCTAATTGATGGTAATAGAGAAGTATTATAGATAAATCAATTAGGTGGTCTATTTTAATCAATAGTTTTAGCTTTTTCATTATTCCTCGCTGGTTTTTTGCTACAGCATTAATAATTTAATATTAGTTATTATTGGTTAGTGATTATTGCGATATTAACTAGTGCTCTTTAAACTGCTAATTATCTTAAAGTTATTAAGATATCTCATTAGGATTTACCCCCCCCTTTCTCATATTTAGCTCGTAAATCTCGAATATTTTAGTGATATTAACAGTATTCATTGCTTTTTATTATTTACTCATTATATTATTTAGTATAATATTAAAACATTATTTTATATCCTATCTAAATGTTAATATTAAATAACTTTATTATATCTCATTTATCACGAAGTATAATATTTTTAGCATAGTTCGATTATACAAAGTGACTAATAGATATTTATTCATATGCGCATCATAAATTAATGGCCTTTATCATAATATTATTTGTTTAAGTTCTATCCCTCATTTATATAAATATGGTTATTCTATTTTGCTTCTTGCTCGAATTATATTACTAGAGAGTATCGTCTAATGGTAGTCCTTTGGTTTTACACACTAAATGCTCAAGGTTCGAATCCTTGTTCTCTCAATATTGCTTTTTATTATTGGATCATTGTTATACGAGTTTATTTTATACTCAATATATTATGTTTTTATTGAGTTTTTTGTATCCCTAATTATAAAATATTTTCTATTAATGTAATTTTATATATGTTTTTATAATGTATTTTCACTTGTAATTTATTAGTTTCTCCTTTTTATCTCGATGTTTTATCAAGATGTTTCAATTTGGCTTTCATAATACATTTTCATTATGCATTTGCACTAACCCATCAATACATTACAATTTTTGTTATAATTCTGATATGAGTATTCATCTATTTTATGTCAATATTATTGTGCATCTTTTATGAATACGTCATAAGTATTTCATTATGTTACATTTACTTCTTTATGAGATTATAAAAAGCAATTAAGTAATAAGGATTTAATAAATAGCAATTATAATTAATATTTAAACATTGGTGTTCTAATTTAGGGTTTATATACTGAAAGTGCATTATGGTTATATAATAATGTCACCCTTTTATTAATACTTAAATTTAGAACTTACTTATTCATTTTTGGATAGTTTCATTTTCTTTATGTTTAATTATTTCCGGACATGTCCTTTTTTTATGTCTTCATAATGTTCTATATGCTTCATCACTAGTAGTAATATTTATCATCCTTATTATTCTATGTATAAAAACAGTATAAAATATAGCCCGACTTAAAAACCATTAATTAAACGATTAAAACTTATATTAATATCGGTATATATATATGCGCATACGATTAAATATTTTTACAACTCTTTAAAGACAGTGTATTATTATTTTATAATTTTATTCATTTTATTACCATAAAAGCATAGGCATTTCATCGGACAAATTTATTATATATTTTACTTACAATAATTTTGCTATTGTTACTTCTTTTTTATATGCTTCTTTTCTTATTTGCTTTTTTATGGATCGATATTTATGTTCATATTATCCCTTTTTTCGTTAATAATGAATGCGCATAGGAGTTCAGCATACTTATTAGGATGTCCTTTGGATATATATGTTTTATGTTCCTATTTTGCTACTTCTTTTTATATGCCTTCCTTACTCTATTAATGTACTCTATTAATTGTTTTAATGCTTATCCGCTTCATGGATACATCTATTTATTAAATCCTTATTACTTAATTGCTTTTTAGTTTTATCCATATTTCTAATATATTTATGATATATTCTCTATGTCCCTTTCTCCTATTTTAAATAATAACTGGAATACATTTTTAATGCTGAAGGTTAATTTACCTAATAAATACTAAAATATATTTATTGTGCCCAATATTTTTTATCCCCATGATATATTTACTATATTATGAGTCACATTAAGGCATTTATAATTTCAATGAAATTTTTTACTTCACGTTTTTTCAGAAAAATAAGCTGGCGCGTACTTTGTTTTTTTTGCGTTTAGGGTTCATTATGTTAGTTAGAATTATTATACAATATTTCTGGTGAAAACCCATAGTTAACTAATATTTCTGGTGAAAGCCCTCTATTATACAACATTTCTGGTGAAAGTGCATTATTAAATAATATCTCCGGAGAAAGTGCATTATTAAATAATATTTCTGGTGAAAGCCCTTAGTTATATAACATTTTAGGAATTACACTATTTTCACCTATGGAACAATTTGATATTTTCCCACTTATTACTTTTTATTTTTCATTACCAAATACAATGGGTTATTTAATAATTGCTGGTTAGTTTAGTGTTTTTCTTGTATTTTATGGAACAAGAAGTTATAATACTTTAGTACCAAGTACATTTGGTGTGACTCATGAATCTCAATTTAGATCCTTACTTTAGATAGTAGATTCATATATGAGTACAGTTTATTTACCATTAATTTATACTTTATTTCATATTATTTTATTTAGTAATTTAATTGGTATGATCCCATATAGTTCAACTCCAACTGTAGAAATTGTAATGACTTAGTCTCTTGCATTTACAATGTTGATTGGTGTTCTAATTTAGGGTTTTATTACACATAAATTTTATTTATTTGCTTTTTTCTTACCAGTAGGTATTCCTATAGGTTAGGTATTCCCGATGATAGCTTTAGAAATTTAGGCATTTTTTACTAAAACTTTAAGTCTAGGTTTGCGATAGGCTATTAATATGATTACTGGACATATTTTAGTTAAAGTAATTATAAGTTTTATCTGGATAGCTTATCTTAATGGTACCTCTCTAGTTATTTTGATTATACCTATTGCTATTTTAATTTTATTTCTTTCTTTAGAACTTCTTATTGCATATTTACAAGCTTACATTTTTACTTTTATTACATGTATTACTTTTAAAGATTAGACTAATCCTTTTATATATTTGTCCTTTATATTTTTAAGCATTGTTATTATGCTAGGATTAAGTTACCAATGGCGTAGCCGGTAATTTAATATTTTAATCCTGCTGATTGTCCTTCTTTACTCATTGCTGTCAATATATAAATAACTTTGTAATTCCTAATTTTATTATCTTTAGCATCTTACTGTTATAATCCCTATAATTTTAAGTCAATGCTAACCATGTATTTATAACATAATAAAGTACTTGCTAATAATAGTATAACATTTATACTATTTATTCCCACCCATAAACCATTATAAATTTATAAATATGATCAATTTTCATTCGCTATATTGAGTATAAATGTTATAAATATGATATATTTACCCTACTATATTGATGAATAAAAATAAATTAATATTATTATTCGTGTATTTTTATATACATTTTGCCAAATTATATCTATACCTATTACTATACTTTATAAGGATTTGTACCTTTATTTTCCATTATTAGTAAGTAATTTTAACTCTTAACTAGGAGTTTGGAGTTCCTTGTTATACCTTTTAACTATCTTCCTTTAGGTCGTGAATTCTTAATATTTGCAATCCTCTACATTATGTTATTGAACCTATCCTTAATGGTAATTTAACCCGTATGAAACTATTATCTTTATTCCGATTTTATACATTATCAAAATCTATTAATCCACTTTATAACTCATAAACTAAACCGATTATTAATATTACTACAAATGTTAACCCCCTTAAAATTTAGACATTTTTAATCAATTTTACCTAATAAGAACATATAAATTTATATGGAGTTCTTGGAGGAGTATAACTGGTGCCTCATTAATCGGAATAATTGCTTAAAATATTACTGGTAATTCCTTTTTGGTATATACTAGGGAGGACCAATACTAGTAATATAGACTAAAGCAATTTAATATGTATTTTTGATAAATTAAATCTTATTTACCTGTCTATATAGATGTAACTAATATTTATACATATAACCTCTGGTAAGTTAATATTTAATGTTAGTCTGATCAATTATAAATACCTATATTGTATTTAATGCATTAAGAGTAATAGTTATAAATATAAGGTAATATACATAAGGAATATTATGTTTTTACTTAATAAAATAAGTATAAACATAACTACATGGTAATAGAATAACCTAATTACCAATAACTATTCCAAAAAACTATACACCTCTGACTATGGTTATAATTTTTGATCCACAATATCTTAACCGGCTACGCGTTGGTGACAATTTCACCAGCCTATGCTATAAATATCTATATTAAATCTAGATAAAGTTAATTGTAAGCATTTAAGGTTTAAATATAATAAATAAGTCCTACTAGTGAGTATTTAATATTTATCTTTCCTAATTTTTTATTCCATTAAATATCATATTGTTTATTGATATTTAATTTTTTAACTCGGGTCCCGCCATGCCCTTATTACCGGATAAATGCTTATAAGGGATAATTAATACCGAAGTTATATAATTTAGAGTCAAATATTCTTATACTAATAGTTTAAATGGTTAAAATTATTGTTTGTCAATATTTCTTTTTTGTTTGAATTATTAACTCGTTAATAGGGGGGGGCCCTAAAGTGATAAAGTCGAACTTATAAGCCCTTTAGTGTATCCCTTGGTTAATAAGGATTTTTTAATAGTTTTAGGATTGAGTATAATAAACTTTTTAACAATCTATCTTTGTAGTTATTCCCTTTGTGCTATGATCACTCTGTTTATATTTTTATAATTGCATTTTCTCTTTTGTATCATATTGCTATCATATTTTACCATTGTCTTCATTTATAAATGAGGAATGTAATGATGAACTTAAACCTACAGTACTGGTAATTCTAATAATAGATATAATCCTAAGCATTTTTGATAAAGCATTTTATCCTCCTCCATAATACAGTTTATAATCATAGTCACAATAATAACTTACACTTTATGCGACATGTTGTTATTGCTACCTTAGTATAGGCCCTGAGTTTGCCAATATAAACAAGAGAGAATATTAAACAATAAAACAGTTTCCGGTCGGACATTTGAAGCAAAAATATATCTCTGTGGAACCTTATATGATCCCTTCATTTTGTATAGGTAAATAAGATACTTTTGTTAAAATTGCGGTTATAAATTGGTATTCGATTTAGCATTTTTTTAAGACGACAACAAGGATAAACTGTAAGATTATTTTATCTTTCTCAACACAATCGAGATACTTATAAAAATTTTAATTTAGTACTTTAAAGCCGGTAATGTATACAACAAACAATAAAAATAATTCAATTTAGAGTTACTTATTGGTTGAGTAATTCCATTTTTTTTAGTATCCGGTCATAGGTGTTAAAGCTTTAGCGCTGATTTTTGTATCTTTTTTGATGATCGGCATTATTAGAGATTTTGTTGAATATAAATCCTAGGTATTAAATCGTAATGTACACTATAAATCATATGTACATTAATAAAATATACAATTTATGGAATAGAGTAAGAATCTGTACACAATAATAACCCATGGCGTTGTATAGTCCCCCCATTATAACATTAGCTAATGCTATCGGAGTTAAAAACTCATACAAGTTTTTGCGGAATTACACAACATTAAAAATCTGGTATAATTAAGTAAAACAAAGCAATGAACGAATAAAAAAA